GATTTTATTTTGCCACTCTAACTTTTATATATATATATATATATATATATTTTTTAACCCTCACCAAGGACATGCTTATGAGAGAGGAAAGGAGAGAAACATTGACGTGAAAAAGAAATATCAATTGGTTACGCTCAGTTCATACCCCAACCAGGAATTGAACCTGAAACCCAGGTATGTACCCTGACCAGAAATCAAACCGTCACTCTTTCGGTGCATGGGACAATGCTCCAGCCAACCGAACCGCTCTGGCCAGGCTTGGTAATGTAAGTTTCATTTTCCTCTCGTTATAAGGTTCAAGTTTTATGTGGCTGATATGTGAAAAGAAAGGAGTGAGTGGATGAACAAATAGATGCTTAGGTGAGCTGGAGGGCATATTGTATAGATCTTGGGTGGGCAAGACGATTGAGGAAACATTTCTAGGATGGAGAAGTCTTGAGCCCAGCAGGCGTGGCTCAATAGCTGAACGTGGACCTGTGAACCAGGAGGTCACGGTTGGTTTGATTCCCAGTCAGGGCATACGCCCCCGGTGCAGGAGGCAGCCCAATCGGATTCACGCTCATAATTGTTATTTCTGTCTCTCTCTCCCTTTCCCTTCCTCTCTGAAATCAATAAAAATATATTTTTTAAAAAGGAAGGAAGGAAGGAAAGAAGGGAGGGAGGGAGGGAGGGAGGGAGGGAGGAGGAAGGGAGGAAGGAAGGAAGGAAAGAAAGAAGGGAGGGAGGGAGGAGGGAGGGAGGGAGGGAGGGAGGGAGGGAGGGAGGGAGGGAGGAAGGAAAGAAAGAAGGGAGGGAGGGAGGGAAGGAGGGAGGGAGGGAGGGAGGAAGGAAGGAAAGAAAGAAGGGAGGGAGGGAAGGAGGGAGGGAGGGAGGGAGGGAGGGAGGAAGGAAGGAAAGAAAGAAGGGAGGGAGGGAGGGAGGGAGGAAGGAAGGAAAGAAAGAAGGGAGGGAGGGAGGGAAGGAGGGAGGGAGGGAGGGAGGGAGGGAGGAAGGAAGGAAAGAAAGAAGGGAGGGAGGGAGGGAGGGAGGGAGGGAGGGAGGAAGGAAAGAAAGGAGGGAAGGAGGGAGGGAGGGAGGAAGGAAAGAAAGAAGGGAGGGAGGGAGGGAAGGAGGGAGGAGGGAGGAAGGAAAGAAGGAAGGGAGGGAGGGAGGGAGGGAGGGAGAAAGGAAGGAAGGGAGGTTGGTTTGAGCCACTTGTGTGCTAGAGAGGTGAAGGCTGAAAGGGGAGGAGGCTCCCTGCAGGATGGGGTGGGGGGAGGAAGAGGAGGGGGAGAAGCACCAGGAAGCCACAGGCCCATTCCATGTTAGTCTGACAGCTCCACCTGTCCTCTGGCCTCCATGCACCCTCCCGCTCTGGAACACTCCTCAAAATTATAATTAAGTAACACGTTAGTAATGCCTGTTTTTGTCCCAGTAGGTCAGCTCCACCAACATGGGGACCACAGTTGTCCCCAGAGCCCAGTACTGTGCCTGGCAGACACATTAAGACTAATTGAGCCCTGCCGAAACCGGTTTGGCTCAGTGGATAGAGCGTCGGCCTGCGGACTGAAGGGTCCCGGGTTCAATTCCGGTCAAGGGCATGTACTTTGGTTGTGGGCACATCCCCAGTAGGGAGTGTGCAGGAGGCAGCTGGTTGATGTTTCTAACTCTCTATCCCTCTCCCTTCCTCTCTGTAAAAAATCAATAAAATATATTAAAAAAAAAAAAGACTAATTGAGTCTGGCCGGTGTGGCTCAGTTGGCTGAGCATGTCCCGTGCACCAAGAGGTCACTGGTTCCATTCCCAGCCAGGGCACAAGCCCAGGTTTTGGATTCGATCCCTGGTGGGGGGTGTGCAGGAGGCCGTCCATCAATGATTCTCTCTCCTCATTGATGTTTTTCCCCCCTCTCCCTTCCTCTCTCTCCAAAATCAATTTAAAAAACACATGTATTTTGTTAAAGATGAATTGAATGAACATCTAGCCCTCAGTCAGTTCAGTTTCCTGCCTTACAGGCAGAGCCCCTTGTAAATCTCAAAAAGGACTTTCCGGAAGCCTCCTGCTTTCCACCTCGACTTCTCACTGCACAAACGCTCCGTGTGTGTTCGAGAATGTTCAGCCGCGTTCAAGGAGGCGCTTGCAAAGAGTGAAAAAAGAAAGCAATCCCATTTTTATCCCCAGCTGTCCTTTATTGTTACTATTTTTGTTCTTTTTTTTTATTATTATTACAGTTGTCATTTAATCCTATGTTAGTAGACATTTCTGCATCTTACCTGGCACCATACATACTCATTACAGTATTATTGACTGTATTTCCTACAAGATACCCCAATTTTAAATCCCTGGTGACAATAATATCACCAACATTCAGTTCCATTTAGTAAATGACTCAACCTTTTTTTAATGTTCTTTTTTTAATTGATTTTTAGAAAGAGAGAGAAACATTGATTCGTTGTTCCACTTATCTGTGCACTCATTGGTTGCTTCTTGTTTGTGCTCGACCGGGGATGGTACCCATAACCTTGGTGAATTGGGACGAAGCTCTAACCAATGGAGCTTCCCCGGGCCAGGGCTGACTCAACATTGAATGTTTGTTAGCCCAAAGATGAAACAACTAATTGTAATATAATAATACCTCAAAGGGTATGGAGTTCTCACCATGTGCTAAGTAAGCACTTTGCATGAATCCCCACAACCTCCTGACAGGCTAGGTATTGTTACACCCACTTTTCACAGACGTAGGAAAGAATGAAGGCTCAGAGACCTTGGGTTTCTCACTCAACTTTGTGCATAGCTGGCGAGTGATGGAGGTTAGATTAAAACCCAGAACTGCCTGATTCAAAAGCCCATGCTTGTCCGATGTGCAGGAGGCAGCCGGTCAATGATTCTCTCTCATCACTGATGTTTCTCTCTCTCTTTCTCTCTCCCTTTCTCCCTGGAATCAATAAAAAATATATATTTTTTTAAAAAGCCCATGCTCCTTTCTTTAAATCACTCTGTGCCTCAGTTTTCTTGTCTGCAAAATGGGGATACTAAGGCCTATCTCATGCAGTTGAAATATGACTGAATGAGGTAGCACTTGGAGAGCAAGCACACAAACGTCTTAATTATTCATATTATTATTAGCACCAAGCCGCAGGGGAGCAGGGAGCCCGGGCCTTTAAAGGTGGGAGAGATTGCGAGCCACCCTTGTGCTAGGCTCTGCCCTGAATGAGCTTAACCCTGCACAGGAGAGGCCGTTACAATGCCCTGTGAGTCAGCTCTGGGTCATGGACAGGGATGCGGAATCAGGAGGAGAGAGCAGAGGGCTTCTGGGCTGAGGTCTGAAGAAAGAGAAGTCAGTCTGGCAAGAATAACTTAAAGGCAAAGAGAGGAGTGGGAGGAGGGGAGAGTCTGCAAAGTGGAAGGAACAGCACCACAGAGTCGCCAGGCACAGGGAGAACCTGGTGCCTCGATGCGGCAGGTGGTCAGGGCCAGATCACGAAGGCACTAAAGGGACACAAAGTTTGGACTTTAGCACTGTGGCATCTGGAACACATGGATGGCTTTTCAGCTAGAAAGTGACTTCGTTTGGATTTATGTTTTTATTTGTCTGTTTGTTTGATTTTTATTGATCTTAGAGAGAAGAAGCAGGGAGAGAGAGAAACATCGATGTGAGAGAGGAACATTGATTGGTTGCCTCCTGCACACGCCTGGACCCAGGATCGAACCCACAACCTTTTGGTGCACGGGAGGATGCTCAACCAACTGAACCACACCAGTCAGGGCAGATTTACGTATTTTCAGAAGAGCCTGGCCCAGCTGGTGTGGCTCAGTGGTTGAGCGTTGACCTATGAACCAGGAGGTCACGGTTCGATTCCCTGTCAGGGCACATACCCGGGCTGTGGGGCCATGCAGGAGGCAGCCAATCAATGATTCTCTCTCATCATTAAAAAAAACTTTTTTTTTTTTTTTTTTTTAGGGAGTGTGGAAGAGAGAAAGACAGAAAGAAACATCCATGTGAGAGAAACACATCAATTGGTTGCCTCCTGCACTCACCCTGACCAGACCCTGGCCGGGGAGGAGCCTGCAACCAAGGTACATGCCCTTGACCAGAATCAAGCCCAGGACACTTCAGTCCCCAGGCCAAGGCTCTAACCACTGAGCAAACAGTAGGGCCTCTCTCATCATCGATGTTTCTATCTCTCTCTCCCTCTCCCTTCTTCTCTGAAATCAATATACTGTATATAAAAACAGAAGAGCCTGGCTGCAGAGTGGAGAGTGGATTGTAACAAGGAGGTTTCCATAGCCCAGCTCAGCCCCACTAATTCATTGTCTCTAAAGTGCGTTCTGGAATTTCCCTGGCCGTCTGTCCGTGCTCTGAAGTTTAAGATCCACTTAAGGAGAATTTAGGACTCAAGGCGTTATCAATGAAATAAGAGCCACTTCGAAGGGGAAGTCCCATGAAGTTCTGGGTTGTAGGCATTTTTACCTTCAAGTCACACAGGCAGCCTTCCCAGCTTAGCCCTGGGACGCCCTTACCAGCATGCATGCATTCACTCACTCACTCACTCACCCAGCAGATGATTTCCTGCACCTCCTGTGGGTCAGACACTGAGCTGGGAGCAGCTGAACCACGAGGCACTCCTGCTTTCTTGGAATGTACACCCTGAGCATTGCCCCGTGCACTTAATTACAGGGTGAGAAGTGCTTTGAAGATTCTTGGTCATTATGGTGAGGACATGGTTGCCACTGGGGAGATGGAGAGTGGGGTGGACAGGAAGTGGTGTTAACAGGCCCAGCCCCATGCCTCGCACATGGAAGAGCACAGATAACTGTTTTATTCAACAAATATTAATTGAATGCCTAGTGTGACCCAAGGACCGCAGACACATACAGCAGGGAAGGGAGCCCTCTAGGAAAAGGTAACGTATGAGAGGAGAATTCTTCAGTCCCTCCAGGCGCCAAGATTCCCTGCCGGCCCCACCCTCTCTCGGCACCTCGGCCTCGCCCCAACCCATCCCCCACCCGGAAAGGCCCAGCTCAAGGTGGACAGAAGACAAAGGGGCCTTAATAAGCCCTTTAAAACTGCTTTGTCAGAGCTGGAGTAGAGAGCAGGAAGGAAGGGAAGGACAATGGGATGAAATGCCCGCCCCTTTCCCAGCGGGAGCCCGGGAAGACAAACCCTTCTCCAGCCCTCACAGGCCTGGCTGCACACCCCAGACCTGAGCTGCCACCGTCCAGGTAGGAGCCAGCAAAGGGGCTTTTACTTCGGACCTGCCATGTGTGAGCCCCACGCTGAGCCAGTCAATGACTCGCCCTGCTAGGACATCACGGGGGGGAGTTCGGCATCTGGCAGTAGGGTTTCAAATGTTGGCTCTCCTGCGCAGCTGCTGTGTGACCTCGTGCCCTTCCTGACCCTCTCTGTGCCTCAGTTTCCTCTGCCTGGAACACTGGCCTCCAGCTCCGCGAGGCATCGGCTCCTTTTGATTTTTGAAGCCTGAGATTGCGTCTTCTTAGACCCACCTCTGAAGACCTGGTTGAAAGAGCCCTCCTTGCCCTGGGCAGTTGGTGGGAGGCTCTTGGATGAAAGGGTCGCAGGTTTGGTTCCCTATTGGGGCACATGCCTAGGTTTCGGGTTTGATCCCCAGTTGAAAAAAAAAAGAGAGAGAGAGAGAGAGAGAGAGAGAGAGAGAGGGACCTTCCTTGTTATCCTCCATTGCAAGCCCGGTGGGCCGTCTGGTTGGCTGCCTTCTCCACGCGGTATCAGCCTTCCCTGTGTGCTCCCGCTTGGCAGTCTGTGTGTCCCTCCCGCCAGGCGCTGGGCCCATGGCCTCCTGGGTCTCCAGTGCACCCACCGGGAATGAACGCACAGGCTCTCGAGGATAACAATCCCTGCCACTCCTGGTCGCTGTGAGATCCACGCCTCTGACACCTGGTGGAAGAGCTCACAGGCCGGAGCCACCACTCCAGTCCCCGCTCTGCACCAGGCCTTTGTGATTGGGGCTGCGTGACCCTGCAGATGGAGAGTCGGGTAAAGCGGGGGGACAGTCATGATTCCAGATGCAGGTGGTCCAGGCCCCATGCCTAGAACACAGATAACCGGTCTCAGAAAGGCTGATTTGTCACGCGGCTGAGTTTATAGCTTTGTTGTTTTTTTGGTTTTTGAGTTTTTTGGGGGGAAGCAAATCGGAACTTACACACAAGGTGCCCTTTAATCAGTTACCTTATAAGGTTATGATGTAATTTATTTTGAGGCTACACTTGAACTCAGTGTTATAACAGCTTCTGGAACTATCATTTTAGCCTGATAGTCTGAAAAAAATAAAAATATCATCTATCCCTTGAATTGAGATTTTTTTATATATGAAATTCGTAAAATTTATTTATTTTTATTTTAAATTACACTTTACTGTACATTTAATATTACTTTCAGGTGTATAAGGTATTGGTTAGACAATCATATACTTTACAAAGTGTTCCCCTGATATTTCCAGTGCCCCACCGCACCCTGCAGGTTATTATAGTACTATAGGCCCAGTACACAACATTCGTACACTGGGGGGGCAGGTCCCTCAGCCTGGCCTGCACCATCTCATAGTCCGGGACGCCTCCGAGATGTCCAACTGCGGACTAGGGAGCAGGCCTAAGCCGGCAGTCGGACATCCCCAAGGGGTCCTTAGCACTGTCACGGAGGCGGGAGAGGCTCCCGCCACAGCTGCTGTGCTTGCCAGCTTCTGGCTGAGCAATGCTCCCCCTGTGGGAGCGCAATGACCGCCCAGGGTCAGCTCCTGTGTTAACCGTCTGCCCCCTGGTGGTCAGTGTGCATCATAGCAACTGGTCGTTCCACTGTTTGGTCAATTTGCATATCAGCCTTTTATTATATAGGATCATTAACTCTATTCCCTATGTTGTACTTTACATCCCCATGACTGCTTTGTAACTACCAATCTCTATTTCTCCAACCCTTTAGCTTTGTTACCCAGTCCCTCCAGCCCCTCCCCTCTGGCAATCATCAGTGTGTCTCTGTATCTTTGAGACTGTTTCTGCTTTGTTTATTTATATACAGTGGAGCCTTGACTTACGAGTTTAATTTGTTCCATGACGGAGCTCGTAACTCAAATTACTCGTATGTCAAATCAAAAAGTGAACGAGTGAGATATGTGATGCTGGGCTATGTTGTGGCGTTAACTGTGACTTTCACTGGGCCAACTAGCGGTGGGGGTATCTGAAGCTGGCTCATAACCCGAATTTTAGCTCGCAACTCAAAGCAAAAAATTGGCCGAGAGACGGCTCGTATCTCGAAAAACTCGTTAGTCGGGACACTCGTAAGTCAAGGCCCCACTGCAGTTTTTTACTTACTTTTTATTGATTTTAGAGAAAGAAGAAGGGAGAGGGAGAGAGAAACATTGATGTGAGGAACATCCATCGATTGGTTGCCTTTTGCATGCACCCCGACGCACACACCTGGGGATAGAATCCGGAACCTGGGCATGTGCCCTGACTGGGAATGAAATTGGTGACTCTTTTTTTTTTTTTTTTTAAATATTTTTTTTTTTTTTTTTAAAAGAGAAGGGAGAGGGATAGGGAGAAACATCGATGAGAGAGAAACATCGATCAGCTGCCTCCTGCACACCCCCTACTGGGGATGTGCCTGCAGCCAAGGTACATGCCCTTGACTGGAATCGAACCTGGGACCCTTCAGTCCACAGGCCGATGCTCTATCCACTGAGCCAAACCGGTTAGGGCGACTCTTTTTTTTTAAAAAAAATATATTTTTATTGATTTTTTACAGAGCGGAAGGGAGAGAGATAGTTAGAAACATCGATGAGAGAGAAACATCGATCAGCTGCCTCCTGCACACCTACTGGGGATGTGCCTGCAACCCAGGTACATACCCTTGACCGGAATCGAACCCGGGACCTTTCGGTCCACAGGCCGACGCTCTATCCACTGAGCCAAACCGGTTTCGGCAAATTGGTGACGCTTCGGTGCACAGAATGACTCTCAACCAACTGAGCCACACCGGCCAGGGCATATTGTTCTTTAGCTTCCACATGTGAGTGAAATCATATGGTACTTGCCGTCTCTGAGTGACTTATTTCACTTGGCATAATACCCTCTACCTAGGTCCAGCCATGCTGCCGCAAATGGGAAAAGTTTGTTCTTTTTATGGCTGAGTAATATTCCATTGCATGTGTACCACATCTTCTTATCTACTCGCCTACTGAGAAGTACTTGGGCTGCCTCCATAGCTTGGCTATTATCAATAATGCTGCAATGAACACAGGGGAGCGTGTATTCTTTCAAATTGGTGCTTTGGAATTTTTCAGATATCTTCCCAGAAGTGGAATCGCTGGGTTATAAGGCAGTTCCATTTTTTATGTATTTTTTTATTTATTATTATTTTTTGTTAATCCTTACTGGAGGATACCCCCCCCCCCCCCAGCCACCCTGTATTGCTTTGCAGAGAGAGAGAGTGGAGGGGAGGGAAGGAGGAGGGAGAGAGAGGGTGTGTGTGAGTAAGAGAGAGAGAGAAACATCAATGTGAGAGGGACACATTGGTTGCCTCCCCCATGGTCCCTGGCCGGGGATGGGGAGTGAACCGTAACCCAGATACATACCCGTGAGCAGGAATCAAACCCTAGACCCTTCAGTGTGTGGGGCCCATGCTCTAACCACTGGGAAACACCGGTAAGGGCCCATTTTTTATTTTTTGAGGAACCTCCACACTGTTTTCCATACTGGCTGCACCAATCTGTATTCCCACCCACAGTGCACAGGGCTCTCTTTTCTCCACATCCTCGCCAGCACTTGTTGTTTGTGAGAGGGATTGTATTTTTAGAATCAAGATTTATTCAGAGACAAAACACAGTCACGCACCACATCACAACGTTTCGGTCAACAATGGCCCGCAGTGCACTGCTCACATGTTTGTGGTGACGCCAGTGTAAACAAAGCTACTGTCTGGCCAGTCTTGTAAAAATAAAGCCCATACAATTAGGTGCAGTGCATAAGACTTGGTGGTGAAAATAAGTTACTATGTTACTGGTTTATGTATTTACTATACTATACTTTAAAAAAAAAAATGTTCTTATTGATTTCAGAGAAAGGAAGGGAGAGGGAGCAAGAGATAAGAGAGAATCATTTATTGGCTGCCTCCTGCACGCCCCCTACTGGGGATCCAGCCCAAAACCTGGACATGTGCCCTGACTGGGAATCAAATTGTGACCTAGTTCATAGGATGATGCTCAACCACAGAGTTACACTGGCCAGGCTGTACTTTACTTAAAAAAAAAAAAAAAAGTCCTTACTGGTATGGCTCAGCGGATAGAGTGTCGGTCTGCGGACTGAAAGGTCCCAGGTTCAATTCTGGTCAAGGGCATGTACCTTGGTTGCTGGCACATCCCTAGTAGGGGGTGTGCAGGAAGCAGCTGATGGATATTACTCTCTCATCGATGTTTCTAACTCTCTATCCCTCTCCCTTCCTCTCTGTAATAAATCAATAAAATATATTTTTAAAAACCCAAACATCTGGGCCTTTAAAAAAAAAAAAGACTTATTATGGAAAGGATGCAAAGGAGCATGACTAAATCAATAAACTTTACAAAAAATCCTCACTAAAGGATAAGCTTAGAGAGAGGAAGGAAGAGAGAGAGAGAGAGAGAGAGAGAGAGAGAGAGAGAGAGAAACTTCGATTGGTTGCCTCCCATAAGCTTCCAGACTGGGGACCTAACCTGCAACCTAATATGTGGCCCTGACCGGGAATCGAACCCACAGCCCTTTGATGTACAGGTTGGTGCTCCAACCTACTGAGCCACCCAGCCGGGGCTGTACTCTACTTTTAATTGTTATTTTATTAATCGTTATTTTAGAGTGTACTTTACTTATAAAAAAGTTTGCTGTAATTCAGTGTGCCATGTTATACCAGCGGCAGCCCCATACCGCTGTTTACCACGTCTCTTGATTGCAACATTTTCTCTTGTGCTCGATTTAACCTCCTGCTGTTTCCTAAATTTAGTTGTGCCTAAGTGTACAGTGTTTATAACGTCCACAGTCGTGGACAATAATGTCACATTCACTCACCCCTCACTCACTGACTCACTCAGAGCAACTTCCACTCCTATAAGCTCCATTCTAGGTTAAGCCCCTATGGGTGCACCATTTTTTATCCTTTATGTGTGTTTTTACTGTACCTTTTCTATTATTATTATTATTGTTTTTATTGATTTTAGAGAGAGGAAGGAAGAGGGATAGAGAAATAGAAATATCAACGAGAGAGAAACATTGATTGGCCACCTCCTGCACGCCCCGCACTGAGGATCAAGCCCATAACCTGGGCATGCGCCCTGACCGGGAATTGAACAGGTGATCTCCTGGTTCATGGGTCAATGCTCAACCACTGAACCACACTGTCTGGGCTACTTTTAAAAAATTATTGATTTAGAGAGAGAGAGAGAGAGACAGTGATTTGCTATTCCACTTATTCATGCACTCACTGATTGACTCGTCTGTGTGCCTATAGTGGGGATTGATCTGCAACCTTGGTGTATCTGGACGATGCTCTAACCAACTGAACTGTACCTTTTCTATTTTAGATACACAAGTACTTACCATGGTGTTACAGTTGCCTCCAGTATTCAACCTGGTAGCATGCTGTCCAGGCTTGGCCCCCTGGAGTAATAGGCTAGCCCAGTGGTCGGCAAACTCATTAGTCAACAGAGCCAAATATCAACAGTACATCGATTGAAATTTCTTTTGAGAGCCAAATTTTTTTAAAATATATTTTATTGATTTTTTACAGAGAGGAAGGGAGAGAGATAGAGAGTTAGAAACATCGATGAGAGAGAAACATCGATCAGCCGCCTCCTGCTCATCTCCTACTGGGGATGTGCCCACAACCCAGGCACATGCCCTTGACTGGAATCGAACCTGGGACCTTTCAGTCCACAGGCCGACGCTCTATCCACTGAACCAAACCGGTTTCGGCGAGAGCCAAATTTTTTAAACTTAAACTATATATGTAGGTACATTGTTATTAACTTAATTAGGGTACTCCAAAGGCTTAGGAAGAGCCACACTCAAGGGGCCAAAGAACCACATGTGGCTCATGAGCCACAGTTTGCCGACCACGGGGCTAGACCATCTAGGTTTGGGTAAGTTCACTCTGTGATGTTCACACAACAAAATCGCCTAATGACACGTTATTCAGAACATACCCCTGTCGTCCAGGGGCACATGACTGCAAATTATTCTGCTGGGACTTACCGAGGTGATCTCTTTCAATCTCGAAAATGTGGTGTCAATATGACTTTTGTTCCAGTTCATTTGGAAGAATACACCTGTAATAACGCCCAATAAAGCTCCTGAAATTGAAGAATAATGAAAGAAGCCAAGTTCCACCACATTTTAAGATATAGTCAGATGTAAAAGATGACATGTATGGTTTCATTTATATAAAATGTACCAAAAGGCAAATTATAAAATGTCCGGAAGCTCGGCTCTCCGAGAGAGGCCCATGGGCTGGCCGCCCCGGGCTCTCCGAGGCTCAGCTCGGCTCTGCAGGGCTAGGTTAGCTGGACCCTGAGGCACCAAGCGTCCACTAGACTCCGAGGCTAGCATCAGTCTTTTTTTTATATATATATATTTTATTGATTTTTTACAGAGAGGAAGGGAGAGGGATAGAGAGTTAGAAACATCAATGAGAGAGAAACATCGATCAGCTGCCTCCTTCACACCCTCTACTGGGGATGTGCCCGCAACCAAGGCACATGCCCTTGACTGGACTCAAACCCAGGACCCTTCAGTCCACAGGCTGACGCTCTATCCACTGAGCCAAACCGGTCAGGACAGTCTTTTTTTTTTTTTTTTTTAAATATGATTTTACTGATTTCAGAGGGGAATGGAGAGAGCAAGAGAGAGAGAAACAATGATGAGAGTTAATCATTGACTGGCTTCCTCTTGCGCGCCCCTTACTGAGGAGGGAGCCCACAACCGGGCATGTGCCCTTGACGGGAACTGAACCTGGGACCCTTCAGGCCACAGGCTGACGCTCTATCCGCTGAGCCAAACCGGCTAGGGCTAGCACCAGTCCTTAATGATGTCATGCTGGACACTGACAAGCCACACACTTGGTCTTGTGTTGGCAAAGCAACGTATAATGAGTCTAAATGTCTGAGCACCAGGGAGCAGGCAGTCCTTCCAAACCCCCTCCCCCGTTCCTTCTGACTTCCAGGGGCTGCCTGGACTGGTCTCATTCCAGTGTACCCCAACTCCCCACGGAATAATAAACACACAGTTACAGATGTCCCATAGTGTTCCTAGGATCAGGAGCGAAGACCCTTTCATCAAAAGCGATTCTGTCTAGGGCTGTACAATATTCGAAAGGACCAGATCCCTTTGAAAGAGTCCGGAGTCCATTCAACACAAAGTGTCCGGGCCGTGGGGCGCCCCGTCTCCTCAAGACAGGACCTGTGCATGAGCACGCTTGGCTTCGGAGCCAGAGGTTGAACAGGCTCCCGACAAGTCACTCTCACCCACTGAGGCTGGCTCCCTGGGTCCTGCCCGAACGAGAGGGATTGCCCGTGGGCGCCGGCCAGGCAGTTCTGCAAAAGTAGTCTGTGTTCTCAGTTCGGTGGCAAAGATGGGCTTCTTCCGGGGAGAGCCAGAGATGGGAGACAAATACAGGATGAAACACAAACTGGTCACACACGGAAACTGAAGAGTCTACAGGGAAGACCTCCGACCAGGACACAGGCTGACAGCACCGAATGGCCACCAGCAGAGGGAAGGCGGAGGGAGGGCTCTGCAGGTGAGAAAACGGGGCTCCAGGAGGCGGTGCAGCCTTGAGCACTGGTGCAGACAAGGCTGTTGGAACTCCAGCGGCAGAAATGTGGCCGTCTCCTGGGCCACGCTGCCGGGAGTATGCGGGGGCGGCCTCCTCCCTGAGGCCCAGGTTTCCTTCTGTAAGACAGTGGCACCCAATGCCCCTGTGGTTCCTGGTTCCTGGACTGTGGGCCTTGCAAGTTCTGACCCCCAGCGAGCATGTGACCTGGGAGTTGGAGGCCCTGAATTTAAGGCCCATCGCTTGCTGCGCTGCGTGACTCAGGTTCATTCCTGCCTGAGTCTCAGGCTCCCAGTGGCTCAAAGCAGGGTGGGAACCGGTCACCTGTCCATCCCTTCCTGCCCGAGCGTTCTGGGATTCCAAGCTTGCTTTTTGTGGCCTTGCCTGTGCTATTCCTACGATCATCGCTTCTTGCGGCTTCCTGATTCCAAACCTGTGTTGCTTGCTCCTGATGTGGGGAGGATGGGATGGAGACTATAGCTGCCAATACCTAGGTCAGCTGTGGGCAAACTATGGCCCGCGGGCCGGATTTCCAGCCCGTTTGAAATGAATAAAACTAAAAAAAAAAAAAGACCGTACCCTTTTATGTAATGATGTTTACTTTGAATTTATATTAGTTCACACAAACACTCCATCCATGCTTTTGTTCCGGCCCTCCGGTCCAGTTTAAGAACCCATTGTGGCCCTCGAGTCAGAAAGTTTGCCCACCCCTGACCTAGGTGGTATAGTGCCACACAAAAGGTGGCACGCCCACAGCGCGCACGCGCACACACACACACACAAGGCCTCAAATCCCCTTCCTCTAGCTCCACCCTCTGTCCTCGTACATTTTCTCTGCTAGGTCACAAACACTGCAGATGTTTCCACCTGAGGTCGTCCGGAAACGTTGATGATGAGAGAGAATCATCAATCAGCTGCCTCCTGCACCCCACACCAGGGACTGAGCCCACAACCTGGGCATGTGCCCTGACGGGGAATTGAACCATGACCTCCTGGTTCATAGGTCAACACTCAACCACTGAGCCACCTGGCCGGGCCCCCCACCTCTCTAACGAATGGCTAAGTAGCATGGAAAAGACAGTCTTTAGTGAAACAGACCTCTCCCATGTTCAGAAACAGCTACGCAGAGATTATAAAGGGGATCCAAGATCCTAGATCAGAGGTCAGCAAGTTCTCTCTGGGACAGCCAGAGAGTAGTGGCTCATGGTCCCTGTTGAAACGCCAAGCCTCTCCTTTTAGTCTGAAGCAGTCAGAGGCAATATGTAAACAGATAGCTGTGGCTATATTCCAGTATTTATTTGTGGACACTGAAAAAAATGGATAAAAACATATTTTTAAAAAGAAGGGGTGGTCCAAGTAGAATAACATAAAGAGTGTTGAATTCATAGTGGAATAATCATAGATACCCATTCAACTGCATAGCAAGTCCAGAAACAGACTTACGTATATGTTCTAATGTAGGTCAAAGGTGACAACTCAAAGTGGATTAAACACTTAAATTGTTCCATAAATGGTGCTGCCCTCATATCCCACTAATCTCTGAGATTTGAACGAAAGGCATATCATTCTCATTTTTGCAACTCCAAGGCCTACCTCAGCAGCTGGCAACATGTAATATCCATCCCATAAAAGGCTGAGCTGTCAATTCTTTACAATTTTCAAAGTCTTCAAACAGGGAATTCTCTTCTCTTAGAGACAAAACTCTTAGCACATCCTCTCCCCAGACCAACACTTCCGTGTATCTAAGTGTATATCCATCCCTGCCCCTTGTGGCTCAGTTGGTTAAGATTCCTCTCGTGAATCCAGTTCACAGGTTGGATTCCCAGCCAGGGCACATGCCTAGGTTGTGGGCTCGATCCCCAATAGGGGGCGTGCAGGAGGCAGCTGATGTTTCTCTCATCGATGTTTCTCTCTCTCTCTCTCGCTTCCTCACTCTCTAAAAAATCAATAAAAACATATTTTAAAATAAAATAAATTAAAAATAAAATGCGTATCTATTCTACTAGTATATACATCGTCTCTCTTTTTCTTTTAACACTTTATTTAATTGAGATATACCTTATATACTATACAAATCAGCTATTTAAAATATGTAATTCAATGGTTTTTAGTATATTCACAGAATTGTGCAATCATCACCACAATCAATTTTTAGAACATTCCATCACCCTCAAAATAAATCCCAGGAAGACCCTGGCCGGTTAGGGCGTCAGCCCTCAAACTGAAGGGTCACAGGTTTGATTCTTGGTCTAGGGCACACACCTAGGTTGCAGGTTCAATCCCAGGATACCCTGCTGGGTTGGGGTTGGTGCAGGAGGCAACCAATTGATGTGTCTCTCTCACATTGATGTTTCTCTCTCTTTCTCTCTCTCTCTCTCTCCTCCTCCTCCCCTCCCTTCCTTTTACTCTCTCTAAAAAATAAATGAAAAAGATATCCTTGGGTGAGGATTAACAAAAATAAGAATAAATCCCAGGGAGCATTTGAGATCTTGCTCCCCAACATATGTCATCAGTTTGGCTCAAATAAACTCCTTTTTAAAAAAGGAAAAGAAATCCCTTATCACCCATTCATTCTTACTGACCCAGCTTAAACGTCATCTTCTCTGATTTCTGCCAGATGTATTTGTTCTGTTTTCTCTAGTCCTATCAAACTTTCTCTACAGCCATTACAGTTTTTGACATGGACTATGTAATGTCACTCAGGACAGGCATGTCTTAATCAGCTTTGAATTTTGTATGTATGCCTGATGTAAAAAAATCTAGAGACATTATCACAGCCCACAAGTCCTACAAGACCTGAGCCTCCAACATTCTCTGAACTCATCTTCCATCATTTATCCCGTTCTAACAGCCTGGCCTTACTTCTCTGATACATGTTCCTGCCTTGGGGCTTTGACTTGCTTCTTTTTCTGTCTAGAATGTTCTTCCCCTGATGGTCACAATGTCTTTCCCGACTTCCTTACGGTCTCTGCCCAAATGCCAACTTATTAGAGAGGCCTTCCCTTGTTATCTGCATTTTTTTCAAGAATCTATAATAATAAAAGCATAATATGCTAATTAGACCATACAGCCGAACAACCTACTGGATGTCATTCTGGACGACCTTCCCGATAAAGCTGTGGCATTGGGGACCAAGGCAGAGGTGGTTAGGGGCGATCAGGCAGGCAGAGTGGTTAGAGGCAATCAGGAGGGCAGGCAGAGTGGTTAGGGGCGATCAGGCAGGCAGAGGTGGTTAGGGGCGATCAGGCAGGCAGAGTGGTTAGGGGCGATCAGGCAGGCAGGCGAGTGGTTAGAGGCAATCAGGAGGGCAGGCAGAGGGGTTAGGGGCGATCAGGCAGGCAGGCGAGTGGTTAGGGGCGATCAGGAGGGCAGGCAGAGTGGTTAGGGGTGATCAGGCAGGCAGGCGAGTGGTTAGGGGCGATCAGGAGGGCAGGCAGAGGGGTTAGGGGCGATCAGGCAGGCAGGCAGGCGAGCGGTTGGGAGCCAGGAGTCCTGGATTGCAAGAGGGATGGCCAACTGCCC